AGTGGTGCCGAAATTTTGTTGCGGCGTCACAAGCTTTTTCTGCGGTAGTACGAAAGTGCTGCCGAAATTTTGCTGCGGCGGCACAGGCTTTTACTGCGGTAGTACGAGAGTGCTGCCGAAATTTTGCTGCGGTGGCACGGTTTTTTTCAGCGGTGCTGCGGAAGCGCTGCGGGTTTTTTTGCAGCAGCAGGCCTGGGTTTTTAGTGGTGGTGCGGAAGCGCTGCCGGTTTTTTGCGGCAGCAGGCCTGGTTTTTCAGCGGTGGTGCGGAAGCGCTACCGTTTTTTTGCGGCGGCGGGCCTGGTTTTTCAATAGTGGTGCGGAAGCGCCACCGGGTTTTTTACGGCGGCGGTTCCGAGTTTTTCGGCAGTGGTGCGGTAGCACTGTCGGAATCTTTCGAAGGTGATTCTGGTTTAACCAGCCGTGGTGCGAAGCGCTGCGAAAATTTTACGGCGGCGACGCAGGGTGTCGCGACAAGTGATCGTTCTAAGGAGTGGTGTGGATTGTTTTGCGGGCGACTCATTGTGACGATCGTCTTCTCTGGAGTGTGATTTACACGGTCTTCCTGAGTGGGCCATTTCTTCAATTTCACTCAAGATCAGTCAGTTAAATTGACTCAGTTCCCTTCACACCTGAGTGAACCCACACTTGCTTTGACCTGTTTTACTAAATGTTCATTGAAAAAGGGAAGAGAATGTGTGTGTTTGAGTGTATAACAGGGAGTCTGACAATGGAAAAGGATTGCATGGTGGTTTGTGTATCGCTGGGTTTTAACTGCAGGTACGGCAAATGGACTGAAATGGATGAGGGAGATAACGGTGAAAGAATGGTTGACTTTTCATCTTTGTGCTTGTGTTCTATGTATAAATAAAAGAGAAAGAAGACGATGAGAAACGAAGCGAGCATAAGGAAGAGAAATTTAACTTGGTTTAGACTTATTCCTGAGGTTCCTAATTCTTTCCCGAATAACCCTGTTCCATCTATGCCTGTCAGTCTGAATGATTTTATCTTTCTACGATTCCTCTTTCTTCGTCTAAGTTTACTTTGACGCTAGGCGGCAAGACTTTACTTGTCTGCCGTGTAGGTGTTTTTCCTTTTTCTATGAGGCATCTGGGGCGGGGGTTCGTTGCCTTAGGGGTCGGCCCTGTTATCGACTCAGAGTGGACCGCTTTGCGGGGGGGTACTATGCCGATTCGGTGGAGACGGCCCGACTTCTGAGATCCAAGTTTTGTACTCGGGCGAGGAGAAGGAGTATCCCAAACCACCTCTTAGGGTAATGGAAAAGGCATCCACACGGAAGAAAATTATTTCTTGACGCCTTGCGAAAAAGGAAAATTGCCTTAGCAATCCTGTTTTAAGTGGTCATCCTAGGTACCACTACCGTATGGAGAGTCGGTGCCACAAGCAACCCGACTCATGTTCCACTAGCTAAACGGAGTACATTTAGATACTCCTGACGAGGTTGGTCGTGCCATAAGAAGCACGGGCCAGAAGGAAGACAAATATTTTAAGTGATACTTAGTTTTAACTTGATCACGTTCGGCTTTCTTTTTCTTTCAGATGGCTGCGGGATCCATGGACTTGTTCCTTTTCTACAACCGCAATTCGGTGGCCGAAAGGGTTTAAATCCAAAGGTGTAATGGGTAAGAGTAGAAAGGATAGGCCGACTTGTTTATAACCCGTCAGAGTTGTACTCAGAGGAGGACGTTCCGCGGTTTTGGGATGGCAGTGCGCAGAGACCCCCCAGACGGCTTATTTTCAGGAGACCGGGCGGCTTGGATGTTATTCACTACGAGTTCGCACCGCCATTGCCCGAACGTCACTTCGTTAATATGAACTTGGTGATATTGCAGCCATACGAACTCAATCTACGGGTTGACGAGATTCCGGAAATAAGATTGACGTTTGTTCGTTACGTGTTTTGGCTAAATGAGCGACAAGGCTCATTCTTTGGCATATACTACGCAGAGCGGATACGTGCCAATAGGTTCGCTATTATAGGAGCCGAAGCATTATATGATGATGTTTTGGAAGATGAAGCTGAAGAACTCGAGGAGTTCTTACGCGACTAATTTGGATTCGTTCTGATATGCAGATGCCTGGAGCACGACAAAACCTGACAATCCCGAGGTATCTGCTGGTTCGTGATACACACGAGGAGCATATCATCAGGAGTGCGGCGCAACTTTTACGAGTTCGAGATGGATCTCCTATCGACTGGTTCGGCTTCATTGGACTGCTTCAAAATGGCGAGGGATTTTTCCCTAATACTCGCGCGGATTTCCGAGCCAACACGGTCCGGACTCCCGACGAGCTTTACGGATATACTTTGTATTTCCACCGCGCGAGTAACCTCCAATGTCTCTCTCGAGTCATTGTGAGTATTACGATTACCTCGTCCGGCAGGCGTCTTGGCATCGTCCGGATCCGGGACACAGAGACTCGACACCTATTTGGACTTAGTCGACCTCTCCGAGTTATAGTTTGGAGGTTAGCCTCTCGGATGGCCTCCTTCTATAATACTCGGATTGTTAGAGTCGTGCGATGTGGACGAATGTCTACTTTGATTTTCGACGACGACAAGCTGACACGTTTGGATTTATTGGAGGCACAAGTGCGTGGCAGGCGAGAGATTTACCAAGATTAGACATCGTCTTCTGAAATCTTACTCATATTTCATAAAACACTTCGCATGCACTCAGTCTCGTTAAGGAAACCATATAACTTATGGTTTCACGAGGTAATCTAAAAACAAAAACAAAACACTTTATGTAGTTAGGACCGCCGGATGGATAGTATTTGGATTACCCCGATGATTTCACTATCATGCTTATGCATTGAGGGGTAATCGTTCGCATAAAAATAAGCTAGATAAAGTAAAAAGCGAACGTCTAAAAAAAAAATTTGTCAAGCGAAGCAGCGAAAGATGAAACATTTCTGCGTTGCGTAACTTGGTATTGGAGATGGATACTCCATTATTCGTGGAACAGAAAGAGTAATTATTGTCCAGGAGGACAAAGCCACCAACAAAGTTGTCACTCGTTCCTCCAAGTAGTTGTATATGATACGGAAACGTGGTCGAACCGAGAGTTCAAACATCGACCAGGATGCAGATCACTTGTTGATCCGCATGGTACCAGTGGTTTTTATTTACAGAAGTTATTTATGACAAGTTTCAGTAATCATGATAATAAGATCAGTCTTTAGTTTATTTCTTTAAATTAATAATCTTGAAACGACAATATAAAAGTTCTTTCAGTCATATAGGTTGGAAAAGAGACACTTTGGCAAACCAGCTCATCGAGTCAACGATTTGGATTGTGCGATTTTGTTTTAAGTATGGGGATTTTTGTTGTTTGATTGCTAGGGACTAAGGATCGTTTTCACGTTTGGTTGAGAATGTCCTAGTCGACCGGCGTACACTTCGTACTTGGGAGATCAGTGCCCCAGGGAACGAACGACGCACGGGTTCATTCGGCGTTTAGTCAAACAATTCTTATATTGCAGCGAGACGAGCAAACGTCATCGGCTGATTTACCTCTGCGATTGCATTTAAAAGCCTTCGCACGTGGATCAGTAGCTCGGTAGGGATACGCCCCTAAGGGTGGTGACAGCCTCTTAGGGATGCAAGCTTATGCCCCGCGGGAACCTGTCCTGTCGTAGGGGACCGTGGGATGTATAGCTGGCGCACCCGGCTAGAGCGGCGAAGGAGCGAAGCAACCGCATCCATCTCGACGGTTCACGGAACAGTATGCGTCGTTCCCGAGTTGTATCTAAAAGTTATGTTTTTAGGTAAACTCCTGCGTGACATGGTCGAGAGGGCGCTCGTTTTCACGCGAGGGCCGATGCGCTCGACAGCGTTCACTGAACGCGCGTTCATTCCGTTCAATTTCTGAACGGAAAAATCGCGTTCAATGAACGCGCTGTAACATAGGAAGCACAGATCAACATTCCGGCTCGAATGGGAGGAGACGCTCATCATTGGTATAGTACCTATGTATGGGTGGATCTCCCGACCTTCGAACGGGATTTCATGAATCGATTTGATTATGTCCACCCCGAGCAAGCACTGCACATGATCAAGGACCGCTATGTTACCGTGCGTTCATTGAACGCGGGTTTTCCGTTCAGAAATTGAACGGAATGAACGCGAGTTCAGTAAACGCAACCGAACGCGGAGTTCAATTCCGCGCAGGAAAAAAAAAAAAAAAAAAAAAAAAGTTCTCTAACAATTCCGAAAAACAAATATGTTATGAAGAAAAATAAAATAAACAACTTTTGCCTGAGAATCGTATCCAAATTCGCTATCAAATTCGAAATAAAAATAGAGAACAGAAAATAAAAAAAAAGTAAAAAAAGAATTGAAATTAGTGGGCGAACATGATTTGACATCGCCATCTTTGGCGATTTTTCATTGTTTTTTCCCTTGGCAAAATGACTCCAAAATTTACAGACATGTATCCCACATCATATAGAACTCACAAAAAACAAATCAGAAAAAATATATATATTTTAAGGCATCGAAAATAATTTTTGAAAAATAAATAATAAAAAAATGAACGTCGTTCAATTTTTGAACGCGAACGCGCAATCCGCGTTCAAACGCACATTTGAACGCGAACGCGTGTTCACCGCGTTCAGACGGTTACATAGAAGGACCGAGTGCAAAAAACACTCGAATCCGTTGCGGAATATCGAAACCGGTTCTACCGAATGTTCGTGAAGACTGAGCGAGGTGAGCAAGTAGGGAGAGATCTGTTCATTGACGGACTCCGCAGTCGAACAATAAGGGCTAAGTTGCGAAAGCAGTTTTCCCCCATCACCCATCCGCTACAACAAATTATGGTTGTCGCGGAAGAAATGCAACGGAAGTTCGCGGCGAACTTCCTGGAAGGAGAAGATTACCCCAGAGATGGAGATTCGACCGAACTCGCTCGAGCAAGAGCAGAGTTGGCTGCCTTACAAAACAAATTTGAAAACATGAGGTTCGTATCAGGATCTGTTACCTATATGGAACAGATAGGCCCCAAACGAGTAATCCTAAGTGAGACTCCGAACATCTCTGCTCCTATGATGCCCCCGCCCGTCAGGGCATTACCCCCGCCGCCAGTAGAGGCTCTTGTACGATCAAACGAATCAGCGGTCATTTTCGAACTAACCAAGACTTCGATTAATTTGATCCAAGAAAACAAAAAGGAGCAGCGAGAGCACAATGCTCGGCTGGAAGCCATGATGAGGAACATGCGGCCTATTGCGGTGCGTGCCCCTCCGATGCAACAAGGATTAGCCCCCGCCCCTGCTCTCGGAGGAGCTGCGAACAATCTGAATGTTTACTACGCCTGTCATCATCCCGGACATCTAGCCCGTGACTGCCCCCACCGACCCCCACAACCGTGGATCGGAGTTGCACCTATGGCTGCGGCCCCCATCGCCAACGGACCTGGACAAGTCGGAGCCTTGATGGAAGAAGTAGAGGGTGGGGGAAGCGCCCTGGCCACCACGGAAGAGGCCGCCGAGCTAATTCCGCTAGATCAGTACGTATCGCTGGGATATCCTGGGCTGGGAATGATCGGAACAATCAGACCAGCGCCCGAATCAAAAGAGGTGGCGGAATGGCAACCGTCCTTAGGAGAAATGGAGTTGGGAGGACCCACCTTCGTCACAGGAGAGATCGATGTGCTAAACATCATCCGAGCCTTGGACTATCGGATTCCCCTTCCGATCGGTCACCTACTTTCGATCTCCGAGCAAGCCAACGAGCGAATGATACAGCACTGTAAAGCGAATCGCTCTCGCCCGAGCACCGAACGTCAAAGCCAAAGGCCCCACACCAGAAGAAGACCCAACAAGCACTCCGGATCCGATACGGTTAGGATTAATTCAGAAAGACGATCATTTCCTACGGATTAAACCCATTGCGTGGAAATCCGCAGAGTGCGATATATAAATTTGGGGAATTCCTTACAACGCCATTATAGACTCAGGAGCAGCTGTGTTGGCTATTTCACTAAGAGTGGTCGAAAGGGCAGGCACGAAAAACGATCTGATCATGCTCACCGAGAAAGATCAACTCGTCTCGGCAGATGAGGAAAAGATTAAAACCGTGGGGAGAATGACCAATGTCGCCTTCCGATTAGGAAAAGTACACGCGCTTGGGGATGTCGTAATACTAGATGTTAATACGTATGACGTTCTTTTCGGACTCCCTGTCCTTGTGGCGTTACGAGCAAACCTGGATTTCGAACGACGAGCGATCGTCCTCCGAAATACAGCAGGAAAACCCTACGCTGTGCCCATGTGATTGACCCTTCGCACTGCTATTAACGTGGTTCCGCGGGTTTCGCCGATGATGGCAGGGACTCTCCGTATGATCTCCTGGGACGAACCCGGAGAAGGAAAGTCATCAACTGAAGATGTGGAAAGCAGTGACGAGGATGATCCGGAGATCTTGAAATTGGCATGACAACGTGTTTGTTACCCACCACCCAAAACGATAGCGAGAACGATGCAACTGACCAGCCGAAAAATTCAAAGGACCAAGGCTATGATCTTGGGAGAGACCCTCGTGCAGATTTCGAGGATGGTCGACTCTTTGGAATCCCCTCAAACTCTGTACGAAGGGATCCCCTCTCTCCTCGCCAGGTACAGTGACAAAAAACATTTTTGCGACATTACGGAATTACCTAAGTTTGTACTAACATCGGCTAAAGAAGTGAGATTGTTGCGCTTGGGGGCGGAAGCAAGCTCTCTGGAACCCCCTCGGCGTTTTGAAGCAGAAACAGATGGACTGGGGACCAACTAAGGAAGTGTCATGGCAGGATGTTTGTGACGGGATTACCCCAGAAGGACACGTGGCAATCCGAGAAGAAGATGCTCAGATGATGGCTACGATGTTCTCCTGGCGATCGGATCATTCATTCATCTTGGCGCCTCCACCCGATTCGACAAAACAGGCGAACACGAAACAGATTGACGTGCGGATCTGGGACCAACTTTTCGAACTGCACGTTCCACAATATGTGCCGGATGAAATCCACCGGGTAATTGCGGATATTCTAACGGAATACCAAGGAGCAATTAGTGTGTCAGACACTTACATCGGGTTGTCATTAGTAATCCAACATGAAATTCAGACAGGAAATCACCCCCCAATTCATTGCAAACCTTATCGCTATTCCTTGATTGAACGCAAAAAGGCTCTCGAACGAATTCGAGAGTTCGAGGCCAGTGGTTGGATTGAACCTGCTACCGGACGGTCCGGACCTTGGTCCTTTCCCGTAGTATTAGTGCGGAAGAAAAACGGGGCAATTCGCATTTGCATTGATTATCGCAAGCTGAATGAAATCACGATAAAAAATGTGTATCCCCTCCCCCGGATTGATGATCTATTGGATGCGATTGGGTGCGCTAATTATTTCAGCAAGTTTGATATTCGGCATGGCTTCCATCATATTCTGGTAAGGGAAGAAGATCGACCGAAAACGGCCTTTGTGTTGTTTGAGGGCACGTGGCAGTGGGTTCGATGTCCGATGGGGATTTGCAATGCGCCTGYCAYGTTTCAGCGAGCAATGAACATGACGTTCCAMAATTTCGTCAACARGAMRCGGCTGACGCAAGGGATGATTAACTTTTGCGTCATCGTGTACATGGACGATATCCTGGTCTATTCGGAAACCTATCACGGGCACGCGCAACATATTGAATGGACATTGGGCGCGCTGAGAGACGCTGGGTTCAAGATTGCGCTTGAGAAGGGTGAATTTTTCCTTTCGGAAATTTCATTCTTGGGCTACGTCGTGACACGTGGAGGACTGCGGCCGGACTCGAGAAAAGTTGCGGCGGTGAAGGAAGCCCCGATTCCCACATCACTGACGCAGGTTCGAGCCTTCTTGGGGTTGGCGTCGTACTATCGGCGCTTCATCAAAGGCTTTGTCGCGATTGCACGACCGCTAACGAATCTGTTACGGAAGGACCAGCCTCTCAATTGGGACGCGGAGTGCCAGCAAGCCTTTGCAACCCTCAAAGACGCTCTGGCAACAGCCCCTATTCTGATTCGACCGGACCCCTCGAAGCAATACATTCTCATCACGGACTGGCAGCCGGAAGCTATTTCCGCTATTTTAGCGCAGAAGGGGAACGATGGTCGTGAACACATCATCGAGTACGCGTCACGAGCCGTGCCGGACAAACGAAGGAACGACTTCGCACCTCAAGGCGAATGCTATGCAGTGGTCTGGGGAATCCAGCACTTCCATCCATATCTCTACGGACAGAAGTTTCGTCTCGTAACGGATCACGAGCCTCTGCTAGCTTTGAAAAAGCTCACCAACTACACGGGCATGATTGGCCGTTGGGCGGTGCGACTACAAGAATACGGCTTCGATATCGTCCATCGAAAGACAGAGCGACACGGCAACGCGGACGGGCTGACACGTCTGCATCGACCTGCCAAGGTACCCAAGGGCGAGGAAATTACACCGTGGAAGGAGCCGGACCTGACCAACGAGCCTAAGTACGGACAAGTGGCAGTCCTCCCACGTGGCAAGAAGCCAAACGGTGGCGATGGGTGACGGAGGTAACCCCACTACCCCTCTCTCTCCCCCTTCCTCCTCATCTCTCCTCTCCCTGCCTGACAAATTTTGCTATTTTTGCGAAGCCATCTCCCGCGTCTATTTCGTCTCCATGCGTCCTAACGGGGAAGGATATGCGGATTGGATAGATTGTCGACAGTGTATCGCACGAGCCCATGGCTCGTGCATCCAATACAGAAACGATAGTAAACCGTGGTTGTGCCCCTTGTGCCGGACTGACAAGATTCCGACCGAGGCTCGCTTTTTGGATGCCACGTCAGAAGGGTTGGAAAAGACCTGGAAGTTTAGAAGGGCCGAAGTATGGACGGATATTGCCTGAATTGCCACCCGAGTAGGTAACCCCCTCCAGGATTTCAAGGGGAAGATCGGAGGAGGGCCAACGAAAGGGCTCGGGATTATCGATGGATAGAGGGTAGATTAGAAAAACGGAAACGGGCGGCAGTGGGATTTGGATGGTAGCGCCGCATCCGTTCATACGGTATGACTGGGTTAAGACAGCCCACGAGGAAACTGCGGCTCATTTTGCCGTACGAATCACGAGGTCCACTATCGACAAAAATGAGTGGTATWGGTCCAATATCCGCGACGATGTGAAATACATTGTCGCCAACTGTCAGGTMTGCGCCGCTGACAAGGCGCCGATTCAACCGCCAAGATCGATAGTGCCCACGGTTGTTGAACGGCCATTTCAAAGAGTGAGCATGGACACTACCGACATAGTGGTGCCCCCTGGCCCTAATAGCTGCGAATATTCAATCCTATTAATATTTGTCGACCATTTCTCGAAATGGATCGAAGCGTATCCTTGTCAAACGCGGCAAGCCACGGAAATCGCGCGGTATGTCAACCGTTTCCTCGGGATGCATCAGGATACGGAAGAAATCCTGACCGACAACGGAGCTGAATTCAGGGGAGAAGTACTAAGGAATCTGGTCCTACATGGCGTCGCCATACGTAACACTGCACCCCATATGTCCCAATCCAATGGACTGGTCGAAAACGCTAACCGGGTGATAAAGACAGCGTTGCGACGTAACATCGTGGCACGGGATCCGAGACCCTGGCCCGATATCGTCGATCACATCCTGGCGGTCCATCGAGGAACGCCCCACGAATCAACGGGGCTGAGCCCCTTCCAATTAAGGACCAATAGCGTCGCTTGCGTTGCAATACCAAGCCTCCCGGACGAGTCTACATTGAACCGACGGCCCACTAGGGCTACAGCTAGGGACAAGGCCAAACGGCACCTAGAGCTAATGGAACGGTCACTGCCCAGGCTAGCCCGAAAACGACAAAAAATGACCGAACTAGCCCAAGGCCGACAGATCCGGAGCTACGAGGCCCGAAATGGGAATGCGGGTCCACGGCCCCAGTACAAATTGGGGGACAGTATATGTACTTAATAGACTTCTCTTCTTTAGGTTCTCTATATTTAGATTTTATTATTGATTCAGGGTGCAGGTGAGAAAATGTGCTCGCCAGGGGAAGCTAGCGCCACGATTCTTCGGGCGATATCGCGTGATCGAGCTCGGCCCCAACGGAGTGGACATTGTGCGTCTCGCACCGGAAGCCTCTGGCAGCCGATCGGCCCGCCCGATCACACGCCACGTATCCTACCTCCGTCCCCTTCCTCCTTCCCCATCTTCGCCTCCGTCCGATTCCTCCTCCTTCGATAGGGAAGGCGACGACTGTCTCTCCTATTCCTCCGTCTCCTTCCTGTTCTCTCTCTCTTACCACGACATCATCGCCATGAGCTTTGCAATGGAACAAGTGATCGGCGCGCGGCTTCTTACTCCGCGGGGGCGAATCAGTGCCATACAGCAAGTACAGCGGCCCCATCTCTGCTCGGATCTCCTCCGATTTGCGCCTTTCTTCAGTACAACGGCGATCTACGCGGCGGCAGAGTTCCGATTCGCAGAAGAAGCAACTACGCGCGTTCTGGCCGAGATCTCGGCCTTTCAACGACTATCCCCTCCCGGGATTAGCCATATCGCGGTCGTTGTCGTCTTTACGGGGGATATCACAGCGATTCCGTCGGCGAATCACTCCGACATCTATCGAACGTTGCGCACTTGGGTTGGGGAAGTAAGGACGGCGTGGACGGATCTTTTGGCTCGACGAGGAGATACCATTGTACCGGCGCATGACACGGACCTCCAGCTCCGCTCGTCTCGAAGTTCGCCCGCGATCGTGCTTCCGGAGCTTCGTCCCTTCGAACCGCCCCAATGAGTCTTCGTCGCGTCCCCTATTTCAGCCTCGCCTCTAGCATCCCCACCCTTTGGCAGTCTGTGCGGGCTCCCACCCTCTCTTACCGTGTTAAGGAGAACAGTACACCGCTATTGAGTGAGGAGAAGTGGGACACGTGGTGGGAGAACTATATCGAACTCGCTTTCTGCCTACTGGAGATAGAGTTCCGCTGGTCAGAGGCGGCCCCATTCGGAGAAGGGCCAGAGCACCCAGAAGACAGCGTAGAGTTTCTGATCATCCAAGCCTGGAGGACAGCGGAATAGGGCGACCTGTTGGGATTGCTGTTCAGGAAGGTGGAGGAGGGCGGTCTCACCTTGATCACGGACGAGTTGCTGGTGTTTTTGACTCAGTTGGCGGACGATCTGCCCCTGGATATCTTATCACACAGTGACAAGCAGCCTGGCACCCACGTGCTGTCTCGAACGCTCGAGCCGCACTGTGTGTGGTCCACGTGCACAGAAATCGACGAGGACAATTGCCTCTATCTCTACCATGCGCTCTACTTGGAGATCGACGTTACCGATCTCACGTTTTGGGACCCGATTGCGAGACAAAACATGGCACAGGACGAAGAGATAACGAGAGCAGATGAAGAAGAGGAAGAAGAGGAACCATCAAGTGAGGAAAGGGACGATCCGGACTACGTACCGGATAGAGAGGCAGGGATAGCCGACGAATCAAACCAGCCGCAGGCGTAGGACGAGGGGGTGGAACCAGAAGAAGAAGAAGGAAGCGGGCTATCAGGATCAGAGTGCGAAGGATTCGAGGCTGAAGTGCGCGACGCGGCACGAAAACGAGCGCGAGAGCGGAGGAAACGGAAGCGCCAGGAAACAGCGAAGGGAAAGCGACCCGCAATAGACGTGTCCTCTGTCGATCCGTCGATCGGAGACCCGTGGCGTGATCCGGAGCCGCAAGAAGAGGAAGACGATGGAACCACTGCAGAGGGATCACGGAGCCGAAGAAGAAGAAGAAGTGAATCGCCAGCTCCCTCCGGCTCCCCGTCCCGATCCTCCCTTCGTCTACATCAAGATCTCGGTGTTCGGGCTTCGTCCCCGGTCCTTCTCTAGCCGACCCCGTGACTACCTCATGCTCACCCGCCTCCCCCATAGACCCCCGTTCCCCGATGGATGGTGTCCGTTTCCCCATCACCTTTTCTACCATCTCTACGCTACTCGTCTTCTAGTCTCCGTCTATCCACACGTCACTACTCGCTCTGTGGTTGATTCCTTTCTCCTTCATGTGCTCCTGTTTAGCGCAGACTGGCGGGAATATAACCACGTAGAAGTATACTGTATTGTGTCAGGGACTATTCCCGCCTGCGAAAATTATGAAGATTTTCGCACCGCCCTGCGACGGACCCTCTCCACCATCTACCCCGATTATATTGCCGCTTTTCGTCATCTTCATGAGGTCCCTCGTTTCCCCCGCATCCATCGCTCCTTCCACTACGCTACCCTTCCTAATTTCGCCTCTCCCGCCATCAATCGCTTCATGCCCCCTCTCCCCTTGAACCATCCGCCACCTCCACCCTCGATGATCCGGCTGCCATTCCCCGGGAACGTCTGAGGTCTAGGATCTACCCTCCTATTACACAGATGCATGGTTCACGGCACGTGTCGCGGCGACGGCACGAGAAAGATCCCGTCCTTGGATTGTCAAAAGCCCAATCTGAGGAACTAGTAGAAGAGCAGAGTTGCCACGTTGGATGACGTCCACACGCAATCGAACGGTAAGTGGCATACAGAGAATTGCTCCGCATGTCGATCGATTAAAGAAATCTACACGTGTCAACAAACAAGCAGGAGCTTGCTAATATTGGAACCCCCTGAGCGTCACATATGTGACGAACCACTTTCTGTAACGCGCGAGTTTTTGCGCGGTTGCAACGAGGGGTCCTAAGCTGGGAAGATTGGGCCAATTACGGGAAATCGGGATCGGTGGAAAATTGCATCAGTACCCTTTGCTTCTTCGTTTTTTTCGTCGCTTCTTCGGGGCTGGGTGTGTCTTGGGACGGCCGGTTGAATGATTGGTCGGATGGATGTTTGGCGCACCACCGCGCGCGCGATTAATAAATGTTAACGTTGTTTCTTTCGTTTCGGTTTCGATCTTTTGGGCGCGGATATCGCGCGGGAAAATTGCTGAGCTCTTTTTGAATTTTCTTTTAAAACCTTTTTGAATTTTTGTCAAGCCCCGACGGCTCTCGGAATTTCGGACTTCCCTTCTATAATTTGTGCCTTTTTGCTTTTTCGCATTAGAAAGGGATTCAGGAATTTAGTAATTAGGATTTTTCCAGCCTCGCAGCGCTTTTTGTTCACGCACTTCTTCGTGCGGCTGCAACAGAACTCTGATTAGTAGGCGCCCTTAATCGCTTGTGTAACTGTAATTTTGGGCGGGCGCCAGTGTAACTGTATCTCTCTTCTTACACTTCGTCTCTCCCACCCTCCCCTCTCCTTCTTTTGCTGAGATTTTGTAAGCCGCGGCTTGCATGCTCGGATCGATGCGTGGAGAAGGGTTACGTCCCCCACGCCACGCCCGATCATGCAGAACGCAGGCGCTCCCTCTCTAATCTTCACTCTAAGTCTTGGAAATTCCATGTTCTTCGCGCATGCATGCACGCTATAAATTTCGGTTGCGCGATTAGTCAGCTCTCTTAACCCGTTGTTGAAAGYTCGGGGTWSCGCGATCMGGAAGGATCGGCACACGAGCAGAGTAAGAGGTGAGTAGAGTAGGAGGTGGGCGATCCGACGGGCTGGTGCCGAACGCGYGGGATTGACGTGGGCCACGACGGACTGTAGGCACGGGCGAATCCGACGGGTGCGGGAGGACTAAGCGGGGTGACAACTTCGTGGGTTGGTGCRTGACGACGGACTRTCCGCATCCGRGAAAGAAAGAGAGAGGAAGAGAGAGTTGGGGTAGATGGACGTAGATTTACTGTTTYTTTGTCTTTTCCCCCTCTTCACCTGTGTACATACATTTTGATTGCGGCTCCGGGCGGTTTGCCCGTTCTTATTCTCGATTCGGCCTTCTGAGATTTGGGCTTGGGTTTTTGCTCACATTTGTCTTTGCTATGTCCGTCCCGATTGCATTATACATATGATTATCGAATGTATGGTTGTATGAATGTGTAGAGGTGTGGGCGTTATGCCTGTCTGTATATCTTTTTGTTGAGGATCCCTGTCCTTGCCTTCTGTTTGTGTCGAATCTTTGCTCACCCCTGATGCAGTTGCAGATGGGATATGAATATGGCCCCGATAGCGATTTTGTCCTCGATTTTGATTTTACTTCATGATGAGGGGTGTGATATGGTTGCATCTTGCATAATCCGAAGCAATTAAACCGCGAACGCCGCGCGAGAACCCGTGTAAACGTGATCCGAGTCGCGCCCTTACACGCATTCCCGTGCGACGACTCGCTCCCCCAGAAAGGGGTCACGGCGGAACCATCATCCCGTACGAGCACGCTGAGTCAGCCTGTCCTACACATGCTCGTGCGCGGTGACGATAACCCGACCCGCGCTATCCCACCGAAGATTATACCATGACGCGATCTTGGGACTCAGACTCGTCCTACGACCCGGACTATTTCACCCCTATAATAAACAAGCTCATAAGGACACGATACCCCTGTCACACGGAGAATCGGTTATGTCCGCGAGAATTCCACTGTGCTACCACTAGCGACCCTCGGTGCTCCGATTTCCCTTCCCCCGACCACACATACTACTTCACCCACCTAGGATTCGTTGAGATCACCACCAGTTTCCCTCCTTTCTGCCTCCTTCTCCCGTATCATTAACTCAGTGTCGTTCCGTGGCCGGCCACAACTCCCTATTGGCCCATTACGTTTTGCGTGAACTGCCGACGCAACGGCGCGCAGAACACTCCGAAATTTCGGAGGCCCAACCAGGGCATGCGGTGGCCTGCGCCGCGTGGCGGCCCGCGACGGACTAACTTTTCAGGACCACCTCCACCGCGGAGGAATTTTCCCGTAACTCGTCGCCCGCAGTATCCCAGCCCCATCGGACCGTGAGTCCCTTGCACACGATCGCCTAATTGCATTCATACCCTTAAGACTCCCCCACTTTCCCCAAAAATCCTTGGCACACCCCTTTTTCGCACTTCCAGGCGCACACTCCACTCCGATCAGGAAGTCGCGCTGGGCGTGAGGTTGGGCGTCACAACAGGGCACCGCCACCTTCCCCGGTTCTGACCAACCTAGTTCTGACGGACAGGAAGTGTCGTCCTCCCTCGACACTACCCTTAACAGCAAGCCCCTGAACCGGTTACAGGGATAAAACCCCAGCGTCCGCTTCGTCGAACGATCTGGTTATGCCTTCCACCTTCAGCATAACTCCACAAGCCTCGAGCTCCCCCTAGGTCACAGAGCCGAAGCTCCAGCACCGGCCTGTGTAGTTCTCTGGTTTCTTTGCAGTCGTCGTTTTTTTTTCGCCGTGTGTCCTGGTGAGTCAGTGGTGACCTTTGCATAACCCTTTTTCCTCTCTTTTTCTCTTTTTAAAAAATCCCACGTTGTTGTAGAGGTTAATGCTATCCAGCGGCCCAGTTGGAAAGGCACGAAATTGGCATTCAGGAGGTCTCGGGTTCAATCCCCATTAGCCTCAAGCACCTTCCTGGGCAAGCTTGGCACCCGCAACCTAGAGATAGGTCGTTGGTCCCCCGAGTGGCATTGAGCAGAGACTGCTGATTTTCATAGGGGAAGGGGTCCGGAGGGGAGGCACAGTGACTGGCCCATCAAAGAAGCTCGGTCCTGATGCTACCGGCTTTACCCCTGGCCGGTATCGCCCACCTGCTGTAGCAGCTATCACACCTGCTGGTGGGTGCAGCTCCTGCATGTTCCCTTGTTGGAGGCTTGAGCACGGATGTGGCTGCTACCGGGTTCCCCGTAATACTATAATGGCAATTAAAAAAAAAGGCCTGAAAGCCTGTCCTGTCCAGATTTGACAGGTAATTGAATTGGTTTACAAAGAATTAGCCTTTATAAACAATTAAAAAGAGCTTGGATGCTCGACCTATGACAGCCAGTGTCAGCCACCTTCAGTAGTCGGACATGTGGTTATCCAGATGGTCTATAGAGGTCCCTATTCCATCCTAAGTCATCCAGAGGTCCCTATTCCATATATAGGGCAGGTAAGTAGTGAAAATGGTGGTTGGAATCATAGCTGTCTAGCTCTAGGTGTGGAACGAGGGATAAACATGGACAGGCCCCTGCGTTGACTGTAGCACCGTAGCCAAGCCCTTGGTGCAAGAAGAATCGTTGAAGATGCAATTTATTGCCTTCAGCGGTGGCCCCCCTGTCATAATGTGATTCAAAAATTTGCGAAAAATTAAAATGTGCATGGTACATCACCAGAAAAGGCTGACCATCCCTTTTTCATTTTCTTGCCCTTCATATCCTCCACAACGCTCGCAAAGATGTCACAGAGAGAGAGAGAGAGAGAGAGAGAGAGGACACAGAGAGAGAGAGAGTACTTGGCAGGCAAGCACACAGCATACGTGCAACACCAACTGATCACATACATGCTCAGAAAACACAGGAAACAGACACAGAATTCGAGTTTTCAGCCATCATATAAAAATAGAATAGCATCTCAGAATAGTGCAGACTTCTCCGACTGCGGCTGTGCAGGTTCATTGCCCACAGCACATAGAAAAGAAGGATGCTGAAAATGTAATGGCTTCCCATGGAAATCTGCAAACAACAGGTCAAGCAACTACCGCAAAGAAAAAGAACACGAAAGTGGTTGTCGGCATTCCCTCCTGTCTTCTTGCAAGCGAAGCTGCCACAGGTCATCCAGCAACAGACAACAAATAGTAGTCCATAGAACACTCAACGCAACAGTAATGTCGGACATAGTTCGAAGTCGAAGTCGACAAGCGCAGGAGAGCGAAGGCGTGATCTTTATTTAAACGGCGAGCAAACGAAGGGACGCGATCATGATTCCAAAAAGAGGGAACGGACACAAAACGTGTTCTCCCCATCAGGATGCTCATGGAGGAAAAAGCATGCTATTGGTTCCTGACCCTCTTCTGTTAATTTATTTACTCACATAAATTCGCACCCCATAACATCCCTCCCACCGCTCCCACATTCCTATAGTCGCAATCAGCTAACAAACTATAGAAACGATCAGCTCTACAGCTAAAGCACTAAGCTAAGCTAGAGCACTAAGCTAAGCTGAAGCGCTAAGCTGAGATAAGATAAGGTAAAGACAAGCTAAAGAGAGAGATGAACTCTCCTCAAAGTCCAGCAGCGGTCATTCCATACCGCAATATCCACAGCAATTACCTCCCCTCCATTTGCGACCAACCCAAAGGGAATCTCTCTCCTTCTGCTGCAATTCCACTAATAACTACACTAAACAGAAGCTACCTCCCTCCCTTCGCAACCTGCCCTAAGGGAAATCCCTCCCCTTCTGCTGCAATTCCACCAACCATACACTAAACAGCAACTACCTCCCTCCCTTTGCAACCTGCTTGGAGGGAATCCCCCTCCTTCTGCTGCAATTCCACTAACTACACTAGACGGATGCGCCCAGAAACGCGTAACATGGTCCTATATATATGAAAAGCAACGTGTCCCTATATATGTGCAAAGCAGGTCCCTTTCCTTGTCCCTATATATGCACAAAGCAGGTCCCTTTCATGTCCCTTGGGCAGGAAGACGATAATCCACGTAACAACGGCGTTTTTTTCACTGTCCCTGGTCCCTGCTCTGAGCCCTGCGGCGGTACTATGCAAACCTGTCGACGCGAAGCGAGAGGTCATCTTTTGATGATTCTGTCGCGTGTTTGAGGAGGGGAGAGAGGACAATACCGGCATGGAAAAAACAAAGAGAGGAGAACCACGACATTGTTCACAGTGGCGACGGCATCTCCCTCACAAGGAGAGCAACGTCTCCCAAAAGGTCCCAATGCAATGCAACGCCACGCTGACGAGGGAGCAGATGCAAAGCAGAGGAGATCAAGAGAAGGAAAAAAAAAAAAAAAAATGCGAAGTTCAAAGAACCATGATGTCCTTCACAGTGCCGATGATGGTCTCACTAACTGGGACCACAAATTTTCTCAACCCACTGCCATGCCAATGAGGGAGGCAGAAGAGGTCAACCTGGTCGTGCCCAGCCTCCCGCCCAGCCTCCCGCCTGGGCTCCGGGCATACCTGCCTGCTGGCTTCGGTCCACTGCTTTCACCATATATTGCTTCCGCCTCTTTCAATGGCCTGTTCCACTTGGCTTCCGCTGCTTCAGCCTCCTTGAGGGAGGCAGAGATGGTCAGAATTGGTCATGCCGCACCGTCTGCCAAGCTTGCTGCTGGGCCTCTGGGCATCCCTGCCTTCCAGGTTCGGTCCGCCGCTTTCGTAATTGCTTTCTGACTGCAAGTTTCGGTCCGCTGCTTTCACCATATCGCTTTGGCCTCTTCCGATGCCCTAATAATCCACCACTTGGCTTCCGCTGCTTCAGCCTCATTGAGGGAGCCAGAGATGATAAAACTTGTCAGGCCGCGCCTCCGGTCGGACCGGCCGAGCTTGCTGCTGGGCCTCCGGCCATCCCTGCCTGCCAGTTTTGCTCTGCTGCTTTCATCATCGCTTCCGCCTCTTTCAGCGCCTTGATCCGTTTGGCTTCCGCCGCTTCCGCCTCCTTGCGCAGAGAGGAGCCCAGCATGTACAGTGTCTTCTGCACCTTCATGCGCTGGTTGTCGGGTTCTGGACCAGCTTCTTGACCGCTTCCCCCACTAGATGACGATACAGGCACCCCCACACCGGCAGACGTAGCTGACACATAATCTGGAGGACTGATTACCGGATAATGCCCTCCCCCTCCGCCTGAAACTTCGCCCGTCATTACATAAGGATTGGGCGCAGCTAGCGGTGGGACTGTAGCGCCAGTCGCACCGCCGGCAGCACCTTCTGAAAAGCACTCCACCAATCTGACAGCAGCAACTCTGACAACCTCTTGGACTCGTGCAGCCGCCGCATCCTCCGCTCCTCCACCCCCTCCCGCCCCGACCACTTCGACCAGAAGTGTTACTCCGTAATAGAAGTCGTGGGCCAATTTGTCCCTCTCCTTGTTCTCCGCCGCTGGCCTGAACTGCTCCACGAACTGCTTGAGCTTCTGCTGGAACTTGGATTTCGCGATATTCCCGTACTTCATCGCTTCTTCCTCCAGAGTCTGGCCAATCACCCTTAGGACATCCAACGGGATCGAGCTCTTCTGTGTGTCGAGCAGCCTCGTGACCGTCTGCTGAACCACAGCCCCTGCCTCCTGTTTGTACCCAGCAAGATTCAAATAATGCAGTCGCTGAAGGGCAGCGAAGAGTAGCTCCGAAGGGGCCACCCCTTGCTTCTTCAACGTGGTTAGCACATCGTTCTCATGATACTCCTTGTATGCCTTCCTTGCATTTTTCAACCCCTCTGCTACCTTCGTCACGCCCTTCGCCGTCACCGACAAGAGGAAACTGGCCCCCTTTTTCGCGGCCACAGCCGCTTGTGCACTGGTGGTGGACATCTCAAACCAACCAGCGGTCTCCCCTTTCCTTCTAAGCCTGTCTGCACTTCACCTCGGTTTCCAGTCACTCCTCTACTCCACAAATTTCTCCCAGCAAGCACGTAAGGAGGGGGGGGGGAACCGACAATTGCCGTCCTGGTTGGCCTGCAGAGACCCTGATTATCCTTCAGAAGAGCTGTAGTGGCCCCGTGCTCCCATCACTGCCTTTGTCAACTTCCTGCCTTGTTTGCCTGTACACATAGCAAGAGAATGACGGAAAGAAGCAACCACGACAACCATGTTTCAGAAAAGGAAACGCCAAAAAAAACAAGAACATGGTGAAATGCAGACGATGCCAAAAGACTGACACAATGGATGCAAACGGGCTAAGCAGAGATACCAACAGAGCCAAAAACTTTCCAAATTGGAATGTACACCTGATTGCTTTTCCTGTTCCTTCGGTCCTTGTTCCCTTCCTTTTAACCACATTATGCAAGGCGAGCTGTGTGTGTGAATTAGGGACACCGATATATATATAGAGAGAGAGAGAGAGAAAGGGAGAGAGAGAGACAGACAGACACAGACAGACAGAGAGAGACGGAGACAGAGACAGAGAG